TTAAGTAAACACAACAGGGAACAGCTGAGAAGACGAGCATACGCACGCCACATTCTCTCACTCGTACTTGTTCGCATATCTTCAGGGTCGCGCTCATGCAACGATTCAAGCACGAAGGACAAACACACACATGCACAAAAGTCTGTATAAACACAATCAGATCAGAAATGTGGCCTTCAAGCTTGCTGGGAACATTTGTTTCATTTTATTTTTCTGGCTCTGTTTGATTTTTGGTTTTTGATGCACAAAGACGTCCGGTTTAATCTAAAACAACAGTTGCTTTTCTGGTGCCATGAAAACTAAAAACTCCAACTATTTCAAAACGAGCAGGGAAGAAGAGGCCAAAAGATCACAGGGTCAGAGGTCAAAGAGCAACCTTACAGACACAAGGGTGCATTGTAGACAGGAAGGTTAAAGAAATGGATTCCAGCATGTTAGCATTAGCCAAATACTACCTTCAAGCTTGTAAATACTCAAACAGAGTGGGTGACTTGCCTCTAGAAAGTCCAGCTTTTCCAAACAGATGCTTTAGGTTTTCTTTTCATTTAACAAAGTAAAAACACTCATACACACCAGGCAGATCCGTCCTATCCGGGACTGGGTCACGGGGGTCTGGCCCATCTCTGAGGACTTCTCCCGGAAGAAAAAATACAGCTTGTCATCATTTCTCTCTGCACTGTCCGGGATAAGGTGTACATGAATGAAGGTGGGGTCTGATGAGAGAAGAGATGTTGAGATGTTTAAGATCATGGGAAACATCTGGTTAAAATATTCAACTGGCTGTTTTTAAACATATGCAACGACTAGAAGAGATTTTAACTTTAGGCTATTGAACAGTTCTTTGTATTGTGCAATAACAAGTAATGGGGGGAAAAATCCTGCATGAAAGTAAAAAAGAAACGTTACCATTCAACCATCTGGAGTTGTACTGATCTGTCCGCATAGCAGTCTTTGTTCCCAAAGTTCGGAAAATAGCCGAGTCTGTTCCCATGAAGTCAACATAGACCCCAGCATACAGTTCACCATCTGAGAAGGAAAGAAAACTGTCCAGTTTTGTCACGTTTCTTGGTGCTCACATTATTCCTGCACCACCCTTGGCACAAAACATGTTTTTAATGTCATAAGCAATTTCTTAACCATTTCACTTTTTTGTGTTCACCAAAAGCAGCAGTTCAAATGAGAGTAGTTGGGTATTAAGTCTGTTTGAGTCATACTGGTCTTAGGCCTACTGGCCTGGATGTCTTAAGGGACCGAGTCCTCCTGACCCAGCTGACTGATGGTACACACCAAAGGTAGAAGCTGGTTTTGTTTGTAAGCTAGAGGATCCAGCCGAGTGGGAGACATAGGTTCTGGGGCTGTTCTGGGAACAGATTTTGATAAGACAACTGATAAAAATTTAACCTGTACTAATTCTTTTTTTCCTCCTTTCTTAATCTAAACTTGCCAAAGTAAAGTGCCTGTAAACTAAGTGTTTAATAACATCTAAAGACTGGTTTACTGTTTCTACTGGTTTCCTTTCTGAGTGTTTGATAGAGTTTTATTGGATTTATTAAACTTCTTAAGGTGTTTCAAATAAAGTCTTGAGGTACGTGACAAATGTATTATTCATCATGGCGTGTCCACAGAGTGTAGCAGATAGTGACTGCTCTTAAGCAGAGCTGGTAAGACAAAACAAGTCTGTGTTGTTTTTATTATTTACATATTAAACCCCACCAACAAGAATTTTGATTGGTTTGTATGCCCATGACAAGCCTCGTAACTGATC